ACCATGTAGCTTTTACCATTTCTTTTTAGTTTTTAACTCAGGGCCGCATGGGTTCAGGGAAATGTCTGACTGCGATTTCTGGATATTACATTTTTAGTTTAATGACTTTACTTTTGCACAAAAGCTTACATTTTATTCATATTCATATAACAGTTTTATTTTACAGGATCACATTTCTTAAACTGTGTGTGTTGAACAAAGATGCTAAATTTAAAAACAAACAACAAAAGCTTTGCTTATATTATTTTAGAAATAGTTACTTAGAGCAGATAATTTGTTTTGTGGGACATCGCAAAATATTTAATGTTAGATGTGCACTGTGAATGCCCAGGCTGTGGTGCCCAGGTTTCCTGCAACATATTTGACCTTTCTTATTTCTTATTCTTATTTCTCCTTTTTTCCTATTTCTTCTTTTTTCTCTCCTGCACACATTGCATTTCTTGAGACTGATTTTGTAGATAGATTCCTAGTGATGATACACGTACACACATTAAGTATGATTATTTTGACAGATCAGACCTGTTGGTTCAGAGAGAGAACACCGACACACGTGACTTGCTTGTTGCGCAGAACGTGTGATTACAGTGCATCTGCGTTTGCATCCACAGCCTGTGTGCCGTCCTTAGCCTGTCTGACTCTGGACCCCGCGGACGTGGCCCGCCAGACCCCTCTGTCCCTGGGGTCCTCAGTGCGCGATGATGGTGTGTTTGGGCAAAGCGAACCAAGTGGCTGCACGTGTCCTCTGAGTGACAGCAGGCGCACTTTTAGTACTTACCGTGTGTTGCGCTCAGTCGCTGAGTCAAGTCTGACTCTAGGTGACGCCACGGGTGGTAGCCCGCCAGGCTCCTGTGTCCATGGGGGTCTCCAGGAAAGAATACTGGAGTGGGTTGCCATTTCCTTCTCCACCATAGACCACGTGGTATCACTTAATTACCTGTTTAACAGCAGAAATTACTTAGATTTAGCCCTTTTAAATTCCTTGTTGTAAACAGTTTTCCATATATTTGTAGATGTATCTATTAAAGAGGTGAGTGTGACTTATGTTCATTACTGAAGGCATTAAACCTTGTCATTTTGTTGTACTAGGTTCCTGAAATAATAATAGAGAATTACTCGTGGTGGCGTAACTATAGTTGTTGATTTCATCATTAAAGGATAATTCAGTGTTGTTGTTTTTTTTAATCTAGGAGAATAAGATTGCCTTTGAAGAAGAACACATTTTAAACTTTGCATTTTAAAGTTTGATTTTATAGCTATAGTGATCAGAACAATATTCAGTTCAAAAAAAAAGAATTAAATCTAGAGAATATGCCACATTTGCCTAAAGTGTCTGCTTCTAAAATACCTCCTACGGTGATTTGGATTGAATGCAGTCAGCGAAAGTGACCAACATTACTGAAAGACAAAAATAAAAAGCTACCCTTGAAATATGATAAACTCAAAACTATGTATTTTCAGAGAGCATCTTTAATATAAATATGTCATTAATTTTTATTTCACAGTGTCATTATAAAGGGGCTTCAGTATTCCTGAATAGAGTATAGGTGTAATTCACCTGATCCCTAAGAGAAATGGACGCTGTTTGTGCAGATGGAACAGATGCAGTAGAAATGGCGAGGCACCTGCCTCTAAATTGGCACCTCTTTCAGCTCTTTACTTCCCCTTAGTTGTTGGGCAGAAAGGAAGCTGCCCCCAGAGCTCTCTGTTGTCACAGAAGCATTGTGATGGCAGTTGTGAGCGGTGTCAGAGGCACTCGGGGAGGCAGGAGGCGGGCTCTGAAGCATCCTGTCCTCACTCAGCCCTGTGCTGCCGGCTCTCAGGTTCTGCTCATGGTCCGCTTCGGTTCTGAGGAAACCGGGGTGAGGGGGTGCTTAGGAAAGTTTTGACTTACCTGGGGTGGGAGACACGGCTGTGTATGTAGAGAAGAATCCTGTACCATGCCCTATGACCTTTTACATGAGTACTCTAGGTTCAAACCAAGAAAAGTAACCTGTAACTTTATGTTAATTTTTAATGTTTGGGTTCAGATGCAGAACTGAATTTAGAAATGAGCTTGGGTCATGTATTAATATTTGAAAAACTTATAGAATTTACTGGAAACCATCAATCAGCTAACAGGTAGATAAACACATTAGAGTGAAAGTGAAAATGTCAGTCACTCAGTCATGTCCAACTCTCTGTGACCCCATGGACCGTAGCCTGCCAGGCTTCTCTGCCCATGGGATTCTCCAGGCATGAATTCTGGAGTGGGTTGCCATTCCCTTCTCTTGAGGAGTCTACCAGACCCAGGGATTGAACCTGGTCTCCTGATGGCAGGCGATGGGCCACCAGGAAAGCACACCCTGGGGTCACCATACAGAGGGCCGCTCGGTCAGCTCAGCTCAGCCGCCCGGCTCTTTGCAGCCCCATGAACCAGGCATGCCAGGCCTCCCTGTCCCTCACCAACTCCCAGAGTCCACCCAAACCCGTGTCCATCGAGTCGGTGATGCCATCCAACCATCTCGTCCTCTGTCGTCCCCTTCTCCTCCTGCCTTCAGTCTTTCACATCATCAGGGTCTTTTCAAATGAGTCAGCTCTTCACATCAGGTGGCCAGAGTATTGGAGTTTCAGCTTCAGCATCAGTCCTTCCAATGAACACCCAGGACTGATCTCCATTACTCAGCAGTAAAAAGGAATGTTACCAATGCATGCAACATGGGTGAATCTTAAAAACATCATGCTGAATGAAAGATGCCAGACACGGAAGATCATATAGTGTATGACTCTGTATGAACTTTGAGGAAAGGAAAAAATATAGTTAGAGAAGGCAGAGCAGTGATTTCACCGGATGGGGTGGGAGGCAGGAATTGACCTCAAGAGGAAACTTTATGGGTAATGGAAATGTTCTATGAGGTAATTATTAAGACTGTATCTATTTGTCAAATCTTATCAAACTGTAAATTTAACATTAGTGAGCTTTATTGTATTTAAATTAAAATTAAAACTGGTTGAAAAGAATGTATGGTATAATTCATTAGTTGGGGAGGGGATCCTAGAACTTGTTAATTCCTGGAAGTGACCAGAAAAATTGTGGGACAGCTGAGCTTCATCCAAAATCTGGGATGAACATCAGGAAAAATGTAAAGTGGTGATGGAAGCTAAAAATGAGAACCCATGAGTTCTTCTTGATCACAGCTGTTTAATATAAAAACCATCCAGCCTAGTGCTTAGCACCTGGAGGCACTTAAATACTGAGCACTGTCATTTTTTTGTTGATGCTATTATTGTTATTATTTAGAACAGTGCATTATGAGTGTCTAGAAAACATTATATAAGTTGTGAACAGAGAAAACCTTTATCCTACCTACTGGTGGAAAGAGTCTATGAGTTAACTGGTACTGATGATTTGAAATACACAAAAGGAGGTAGAATTTATCTGTGACTGGTTTAGGCTCATTAGTGAACTGTAATGCATCACAGAAGCACATAGAGCATCTTTCACAGAGGTATTCTGAGCTTTTGTGTGTATCAAATCTTGTCTGAACTGACTCAGACCATGGTGAAGACTCTCAGAAGAACTTTGTATCGAATGAGAGCTAACAGTTCCAAAGTCTGCAAGCATTCAGCAGAATCAATGGCTGGTGTATGACATTGAAATCATTTTGGAATGTTTTTTGGATATGTGAGAGACTGAAAGTGCCAACAAAGACTGTAGGAATATGAGGCTCCTGTTACCCTAATCATCATATATGTATACACAAAAAAGAAACTATAATAGCCAAGATTTGTTGACTTTTAATGTGCCTGGCATGTACTGCACTAAGTGATTTCAAGAATTATTATGACTAAACTTCATCACAAGCTTAAGAGATACATGCAAAAGAGCACAGAGATTGCGTAAGTTTTAAGAAGACAGTCAAAGTTTGATTCTAACATTTGGGAACCGTGGATGAGGACCCTGAAACGAACCTTGGTGACATTCCATTTTACCAGCGTTGGATTGCTACCGTCATGCTTTGGGTGTCCCGTGTCCTGTCCTGGGAGTGGGATGCAGAGAAAGAACTGACGCCTGGACCAAACTCTCTGACCTCCAAGTAGTGAGGCCATAGGAGGGCAGTATGTGTTTGGTGGCCAGTCAGTGATTGTGGGAAGAACCCATAGTTCCACATTTTTGAGTTCTTAGAAAGCAGAATTTGTGTGCGAGTAACCCTTGCTTTTTCAAAGTTTGTCTTTTATCACTTCGCTTTGACCAAAGACCTGTATCAGTACCTGTTTGCACTAACCGAAGCAAATCCGAAGAGGATTTACAAAAAGAAAAAAGGACAAATGGTGGAAACGGTGCCCGGCCTTTGTTTTTGCAGCAGCCCTCACTGAGGCGGCGCAGACCCTGATCAGCGAGGTTGGTGTTGCCAGCTCTTCTCCAGGGAAGCACACGAGCGTCTCAGCGGCCAGCCACCGAGGCTCTTCGCTGTGTCTCTGAACCTCTGTGCTTCATCTCCATCTGCGTTTTGCAGCTGTTAGCAAGATGGATGCTAAAGGTAGTGGCTTCCCCTTTCGGGTAGCAGGGGAAACCCATGCTAGATTCTTTAGGCAGAGAAGATACCAAACATAGCAGAAGGTTAATTATCCATTTTCGTCTATTTTGAAGTCCATTTGAGGCGATGGTACAGACTCAATGCTGTGTAAGATTTCACACAGTCACGATAACTTGAGTTTTGATAAATCTTTAATTATATAGGAGGGTTATCAAACTGGGACCATTGTGGATCCTCAATGAGAGAAGCGGTTAGCATGCAGACTCTAATGGGTACATTTATCATTTCTTTATCACACTGTGCTTCCGATTCATTGTTGTCTATTTTCTAAGAAAGTAGAAATGCCGTTTCTTAGAATAAAAATGTTCTTTCTAGTGCAAGCAGTAGATTGAAGCTATCCAGATTGGTTCTTTAATGAAACAGGCAACATTCCAATGGAACTGACAAGCTTTATTTCCATTTGTTGTATTTTTTTTGTCATTACAGATGGACCCGATTCAGAAAGCTGTAATAAATCATACTTTCGGGGTTCCTCTTCCTCATCGAAGAAAGCAGATCATTTCGTGCAACATTTGCCAGTTGAGATTTAATTCTGATGTAAGTTTACCGTTTAGTATTCACTGAAAAAATGCAGTTTGCTGTTCTAATCTTGCAGAAGAGATTTCTGAAACATTTTTCTCCAACGATTGAGCATGTCAAAATTCAAAGATTACATTTTAACTCCTGATGTGCTTTAATTTTGGAGTTTGTTATATTATGTTTGTTCGTTTTCTATAGAAAAATCTCACCTAAGCAAACTGCACTTGTGCTTTAATGGTATTTTTAGGCTCCCAGGAACGCCAAGTTTAGATAACACACTTGTTTTTGGGCAACAGTCAAAATCTAGGACTAACGAGATTTTCAATAAATAACGTCTCTGAAATAAGGTAGGTCCCAGGTGATATTTCAAGGCCATGGTTTTGACGTTGTGAATTCTCTTTACCTGCTTTGATGAGGCTTAATTCCAGATCGGCTCTGGTGCCATTAACTGTTTTTGTGTTACAGATCTCAAGTCCCCGACCTAGAAGGACTAGCATTTTAACAGGGGATTCTAAAGACCTCAAAGGAGCCCAGCCCCTAATGAGTAGAAGTTAGGAGGAAGCATGGCAGGAGGGAGATAGTGCAGACCTGACCCTTTGCATGTTTTTCACAGAGAGGGAGTTGCATCTTTTATACCTTTTCTAAGAGTCAAGCTTGACTCTGGATTCAACACAGAAGCTAATTTGGCTTGCAGCCCATATGGAAAATACTGCCACTCCTCAACCTGCCCTGGTGTGGAGTTGGTCCTGAGATAACAGAAAAGAAAAGGAATGCAGGTTTGGAAGGAACAAAAATTGAACATTTGTGGGTGCGCTTGGCAAACAGAGGACCCCAGCCTATCAGTGTGACCCCTCCAGGGTGCCATGAGCTGGCCCTAAATTGATGTGCTGTATGGAGATGACCAAACAAATCTGGGTTCTAGAGAATGTTAGGCCTTCTAGCATTTAATCACCCTATGCAAATAGGTCCCTTAGGTGATCTGATGATGAGGGTTGCATATGAGATAATCAGGCAGAGGAAATAGACGTGTCACAAAAAGAGTGGCTTTTTCCTTCTGTGAGAACATTTCATTTTGTATAAACTTTGCTATTGTCTTGTGATCTCATCCTTAAACTGGTACAATCACCAGGGTAATTTTATAACATTCCCTCGGCTGACTTAAAAATGTGGAGAGGAGTCTGCCTGCATAGCACTCGAATGGGCTACTATTAATATTGAAAGAATACAGTAAGCATACAGCATTTTATTTGAAAGGTTGTCTTTTGTTTTTGTTTGTTTGTTTGTTTCATTGTTTGTTTTTTAATAATTAGCACCTTGATTTGAATTTTAAGAAAACTACTATAGTTTGACTTACAAGTATTTCAAGTGATTAGTATGTAATATTCTCTCCCAGCTGGTACACAAAAAGTTTCCCTGACATACAAACAAGAGCTCTGAACTTAGTAATGCAGTCCTGATCATTTCTCAATACTCGGCAAGCAGCTGTACATTTCCATAGTTGTTGAGTGTACCCTTCTTTATTCTGGGACATTTCACTTTGGAACTGGCTGGGTGATGTTGAGGAAGTCTTTTAGGAGCCGCATTTCCACTCCTTACGTCTAAGGGGCTCCTTCAAATATCAAGCTTTCTGCCAACAGTTTCACTGTTAATGTTTTTGTCCATGTTAAGGAAACTTCCTGTGAACTGAAGTCTTAGAAAGAGATTTCAAGCTTATTTAACCCAATCTCCCACATACTGAAAGAAAACCATTGCCCACATCAAGACTAAGTCTGTGGGTTGACGACCTCCAGTAATGGGTAGCTCACCACTTCAAGACGGTTGATCCTTTTTTTTTTTTTAATGTCTTTTTAAGTGTTTCTACTAACCTTCCAGATGGATATAAAAATCAGATTTAAAAAAAAACTAGAAATGCTGTTAGATGTTCTTTAGGAAACACTATATTATGATTATTAACATAAGGAACATAATAAAAATAAAGATTTGCATACTTCTTTTCTAAAACGTAAAGTTATTTTATTTCCATCATAAGAGAGGATAAAAAAATGTATTTGTGTTCATTTGCTAATGAATTTTCAAGGTGATATAGGGACCAGGATGTATCTTTTAGGGAAACTGGTTCTCACTCCGACAGCTTTGCTTTCAGATCCCTCTGAAAGGAGAAGTCCTGCAGTGTTTGGAGGTGTGACGCGTGTCAGTGTCAGTCGTAACTGTGCAGCTGCAGGCCTGACTACCCGTTGGGTGCTGCTCTAACAGAGTGCCACACCTTTAGTGTCTTAAGGTGACTCCGCTGTGTGACCGCGTAGTTCTGGAGCTGAGAGTCAGAATGGGCCTCACAGGGCCGGAAGCAGGGTGTCAGCAGAGTGATGGCCCTGCGGGGGCCCTGGGGAAATTTCAGTTCCTTGTCTTTCTTTTCTAGAAACTGCCCTCTTTCCTTGGCCTGATACCCACTCCCATCCTCAAGACTACAAGGCCGATTGAGCTCATCTCATATGGAATCGCTCTCTCTTCTGCCTCACCCTTCCACATTTAAGGACCTTTGTGATCACAGTGGACCCACCTAGATAATCTAGAATAACTTTTCTATTTTAAATTTATTGGCTTAGCAACCTACTTTCATCTGCTGGCTTAACCCCCTTTGTCATGTACTGAACATATCCATCATTCCAGGGATTAGGACCTAAATATCCCTGTCATGCCTTCAGTAGATACTCATGTGGATGTTTGATTCAGCTTTGGACTGAATAGCATGGCCACCTGAATGTGTCAAATATTCGCACAGGCCAGTTCTTTGATCTGTGCAAACTGGACACATGCCTTCATTGCCCTTACATTTTTCCTTGTCTTGAACCTTGAATATAAATTTACTATGCTGTGCACATTTTTTAAATTATATATTTTTTTATGTAGGAAGTTCCAATATTATTGAGTTTATGAATGACATAGTGAACTATTAACTGTGATGTACAAGCAAAATATAATTATTGCAAAATTGAAATATAGGAGTGGAAACTCCTTTAGAGACCTTAAAAATGTCTCTATGGCATTATGATCTCAATAAAAGGAAACTAATGTGCTGAAAATATAAGATTTGTTTATTCATTGACTGGTCATTTCTATAAATACCAATTTCATGAAATATTTAATACTGAATGCCAAGATAAATTGGATTTTATGATCCATTCATTCATATATAAATGTCTCTAAATAAAGAGAAAATACATATATATGTGCATATAGATCATTTTATTCTTCAAAAGCTTTAAATCCCAATAAAACTGCCTGTTTGCTCTTTCCACGTATATCAAGCATTTATCATCCTGTTTCCATTCTTAAACCTAGAATCTGGAAAAGTGACGCTGTAATTCACTTGTATGCTTGGTTGAATCCTCTGTCACATAAGAAAGTATTTTTGCCTTATGAACCTTTTTACATTTCAAAGCTTCTTCCTCTTCCAATGAAAATAATAGCTTGTAGTTCTTTTCATCTCTGCATCATGAAAATTCAATTTCCTTTCCCTCTAAGCTTTTATTTATTTTTTTAACCCTTCGTGTTATAAAGCCTGTAGTTTGGTGTTATACCATACATGTTTCCTGTGCAGTACATTTTCCATTTTTTGCCCTATGGATATTTTTCTAAGTAGCACATTATATTGTATGCATTTTAAATCAGATTACCTTCGCCTGGTGCAGGCATTCACTTTGGGGAAAAAATGAAACTCTTTTGGCATTTATGTGGGACACACATGGAGTTATGCAAAAAGGCTTCCAATTAAAGAATGAGAAGTTGTAATTTGACCAATTATTTTATCAACATCTTAAAATAAGTGTAAATGACCATTGGCCTGGACCAGTTAGTAAGTGTGCCTTTGAAAGACAATTTACAGCAAGTCCAGCGTGGCTGTGAGATTATTAAGTGAGGTAGAGTATGATTAATTACTCAATGACTGTTTACAGAATGGAAAAAAAGATCTCAGGCCCCGAAACTGAGGGGTCACAAACTTGTAGCATCTAAGTGTCACTCTGGTGGCCGTCCCCCAAACAGCACTTACTGGTATGTTAGAGACGGAAGAAAGCTTGCTCATTTCAAGGTGGAAACTAAGGCATGAAGCGCGGAGGAGGCTTGTCCAAGGCCGCATGGCAGAGGCTGGCCACGCCGGGTTGGTGTGAGTGTCCAGGCCGCTTCTGCCTCACCTGCTCCAGGCAGGGCGGCACGTCCACCCAGAGAGCCAGCCTCCCCTTCAGAGACGTTGTGGCTGTCCTGGGTGTCTCCCGCCCAGCCGTCCCAGAGAGAGGGTCCCAGGCCTCCCTGCCCGGTGGAATGACCTGGGCAGTCAGTCCACTGTGCTGGGCCATCCTCCCCTCGGGCTCCGCTCCCTGCAAGGTCTGCAGAGCCTTCCCAGTGCCCCTTCACTCACACAGTTAGTCATAAACACAAGGAAAACGCAAGTGTCATTGTACACCCTCGAACTAGAATACATCAGGAACAAATCCTGTGTGACTCAGGACAGCCAAGCGTTAATGACTCCAGGGGACTGTTTGATGAAGCAGAGGGGAGCAACCTCCTTAGAAGACACTCCTTACAGATTGCAAGCCCCTCCAGAGGGAACCCTCGGGAGCATCACCAATATAATTGATACATTTCTCGACGGTATTGTAAAATAGAAATCATCCTTGTCCTGCATTTTAGAACCCAGAAATATAGTGGAACCAAACAATACATTTGAATATAGTTCCTATCTCTGTTGAAAACTTCCATAATCAAACATGGCATCATGATGATGAAGATGCTAATGGGAGTATTTTTTCTTACCAAATGACCAAACTTAGATAATTACACTGTCTTTAACATAAGATCTTAGGACACATCTTTTAAATATTTAAATCAGTAATATGGGGGGTGGATAGAGTCCTGATATTTAAAGGAAACACTGCTTAGATGGAGAGAAAAACAAAAACTCATACTTGTTTTGGAGTGGAAGAACTATTTATTCTTTTGTTTTTACTTATTTTCCAAATTTC